TTTTTTCTATTTTTTCTCAAAGAAAACTTTTTCTTTTTAAAAAATTTTTGTATAAATTTCGAAAATTATGAAAAATGGTTTAGTTTTGCAAATAGTTAAAGATATAAAATAAAAAATTTATTATTTTAAAATTCAAAAAATTTTTTCTATAAATTAATTAAAAATTATACGTGTATACAATATTTTCGCAGAGTCTGATACAAGGATGTTCAATCTACGGTACGTAGCTTGAATCCGATCGTTATAATGTATTTTATTAGGTACTGGAAAACTTTTCAAAATAACATTGATTATCCAAAATAGCTTTCATAGTGAAGAAGTGCTCAAATCAGAATTAGACCTTAAAAATACTTGGAAAAATTTTTGGAATAAATAAAATCAAAGTTGGAAAAAGCGTGTTTAAAATAATGAACAAAAACGGTCATGAAATCATTCTCACATTTGTGTTGCCTATTATTCTACGATCATATTTCTATACGATAAAATTTTGCAACAGTTTTGTTCTACAGGTGCGACATACAAATTACTATGTGGATATTTATATATTTATATACAATAAAAACCATAAACTTTCCATCAAAAGTTTTAATTTAATAAATTGATAAACTAACGACTTTCAAGGTAATAGAAATTTCTATGCTTGATAACTTAAAGAAAACATTTGTGGTAGTTTTCAAAATTTATCTTTGAAACACAATATTATAAGCCGAACATCTATAAGGTCTTGTAGTCAAAGAACTTTTAAGATAAAGTAAATAAATTTTATGAATCAAGCGGTTACAATGAAAAAATTTAATTTATTCAAATCCCGATTTTAATTCTTATAAATTTAAACTATCCAAAATATTGTCTAAAGGGTAAATTTTATTTTACATTTTAGTATTAAATATTTCATTTTAAAATTCACAAATTACATAATATATTTGAAACTTACAAAGAAATATGTTACCCTAAAATATTTAATATCAAACTGATGGCCAATATAGAATCTTACACATAGTACTGCCACATACTCGTATATAAAACCAAATATCTTAATTTTTTTTAAATGAAATCTTCATTTTGAAGATTTGATGAAAAAAATCTTGAAGAGCCTTTCGAGATCTTCAATTAAAATTCAAATGAAAAAAGTAGCAAGCCAAAATATCACGATTTCAATTCTGAACAAACCAGACACCAAACAGAACAAAAACTAATGATATGCACATTATGCCTTGAATCATAAAGAAAAATTTAAAGAAGGCAATTTGCAGAAAATCTTACCTTTAATTTCTATAACGGCACGGAAATATAGCGAAGAATTAAAGAAGCTTATCACTCTTTTTAGTTGCATCCTATCCTTATCCTTCTTATGCAAGTATTTTACTATAGTGCTAGTAGTATTATAGTAAAAACTTAATTCGAAATTCGTCAGACCTGTAAAAATTATTATAAAATCATAAATAAGTATAGAAAGGAAAATAACTCAATTATATTAAATTTTTAATTTATTTACTCATTAATAAAAAAAAACGAGTTAATTAGAAAATTTCTTGGAAATTTATTTTATATGTTTCTCATCTGTGAATTTAATGCGTTCTAATTAATTAGAATTCAGAGAAACAGAACTTTGTTTTTCGTAGTAAGAGCAAATACATACGAATACCGTGTAAATTTTTACAACAATTTCAAAATATTTTAAATATTAAAGTTGAAAAGAAAACCATCCTTTAAAAATATTTTAATGTTATTAATTTAAAAATAATTGAATATAAAATCAATTTGCAAAAAAAGAAAAAATAAAATACAAAATGAACAAATTAGAATTATTCAAATTTTTACTTGCTTGCTCTCTTTTCTTCAAACTTATTAACACTCTAAATGTAAGATAACTAAAAAAATTCGTTTTATATTATTTTTAACCCCAAAATTTTTTTGTTTTTTTTCTTGGTTGGATGACCTTGAATTCTATCACTTAAAATCCTTTATTATAACCTTCATTCTCTTCAAGTTTATTTTTTTTTTTGATATTTTTTTTTTACTATTCGCGAAAATTTTGTTACATCATCGCGAACAAAACCATGCACAAACAGAACTTAAAAAAAAAAAATAGACAAATAAAATATTATAAGTACATCTGAGTACATAATATGTGTGTATGTAATTTATAATATTTAAGTACATACATGTGTACATGATAAAAGTAGCAATTTATTTAAAATTCATATCACGTTATTCGTAAAAATTTTTGAATTTATTTAAATTATTTTTATGAAAGCATTCTAAAGAACATCAAATAAATTATGCAGATTATAAATAACTAAGTAAGCATCATATTTTAACTTGTATTATTGTAAATAAAAGATTTTTTTTTTTTTTCAAATTTACAATTTACTTTTACACGAATAAGGACATTTTATATAAAAGGAGTGTGTGTATGTGTATTATAGGTGTATGTAAAATTGATAGAAAAATATTATGAAAAAATTTTAGTTGTTTTTTTTTTGTATTTTGCTTTCCAGATTTAATAGGAAAATATTATTTATTTTTTTATTGTTTTTTCTACTTTTTGTTTTTGTATTAAAATCACTTAGAAGTATTCTATTAAAATTCAAGTAATTTGTATATATATATACCTGCAGGTTCATAATAAAGAATATTATGAGTAGGTACAATAATGCTCTTTTATGCGTAAACTAAATTTATTTTGTTCTTAGTTAAAATGATAGCCAAATGGCGTAAATAATATAAAAATCAAAGCAAGAATATTGATTATATTAATTTAATTATAATGAAAAGATATCAATAATATTATTAGCGCCTACACAAGCATTAGAATAAGTAAATTGAGTAATGTGAAAAAGAAGTAAATCAAATATTCTAAGTACTTCCAAATTAAAATTATGAGTGTAAGAAATTTATACAAGAATTTTCTTTGCAAGCGAGAGGGTGATCTCATCTTTTTGAAAATTTTACAAAGAGTTTTTAAAATTTACTTTCTTCTATGCTCCGACTAATGAAATTTCGAATAGAAATAAGTTCTGAAGCTAAGCCAAATCATATACTAGAGCAATAAAATTGTAGCAGAAAATATATTAAAAGTCTATTCCCTCTAAACGACCAATAAAATTAACTATTATTTTAAAGTCGTTCTTTTCACAAAATTTTTTATAATGTTTTTTTTTTTCTAAGAAGAAAAATTTCAAAAATCAAAAAATTATAACAGCTTTCCTATGTTAATAAATATTTTTTTATATTTATTATAAGTACCCCTGAAAGTATGCAATGCGTTTATATTTTATGATACAAGAATATTTTGTAATATGAATTTAATTTTGGCATAATAAATAAAAGATGAAAAAAAAATAGCTTTAACTATAGTTTTTTTATGTTTTTAATAAAATTTAAAAGAAAATTTGTACCACTTCACAACCCATTCAGAAAAATTTATTTATACTCTAATAACAATCAATAGCATCAACTTTTCAATCTTCTTTCTTTCTCTACATTATATTTACAAATCTTAAGCCAACAATTAATCAAAAGAAATTTAGCTTAAACATTTGTACAAAATCGCAAACAATCATTATAATTCTTAAAACTTTATAAAATTTCTATTGAGTTTTATAAAGGATTTCGTACAATTTTTTATATAAAAAAAAATGTTTTAATAATGAAAACATAAAAATAATTTTTTTTTTTTTGCCTTTTTCTTTTGTGTTGCAAAAACTTCTTTGTTAAGTAGTTTCGGACAAATATAATCGACTGATAAAATGATTATGCATAAATAAATTTCTTTTACGTTTGTAAGGTGTAAATAACAATCTAAAATACAAAAATATTCTTATATTATAAGCAGTTACTTAATTTAGTTAACAAAAAAACATTTAGGTTTTGTTAGAACAAAAAATTATTTTTTTTTTAAATGATCAGTTACAATCATCAGTTACAAGAAATAAGACTCACTAATAAAAAAGTGTTATACAATATTTGTAAGAATACCGAAATATTCAATAAATTTCGAAATATATAGCAGAAGAAAGACGAAAATTTAAGAAAAATACTGCGTAACTATCTTGTAATATAATTTAAGAGAATCTTGTAATTGTAATATTAAATGTCAATATTACCTTACAGAGATCTAATGTTTTTCTGATTTCGTAAACTTTTAAACCACAAACTTAATATCCAAGTGTTAATATCTATGCGTTCATTATTCCTACTACTTTTAAATACTCCTATTACTTTCCTACTCTTAATACTTTTGAAAATTTAATTATTGACGAGATCAAAATCTAGATTGTTAACAGTAATCTCGAAGAAGCTTTAGCCCATAAAACTCAATTATACTAAAAAATATTGCATAAATAGTCCATTGCAGTTTACTATTCTTCAACTTCGTACAAAGTTAACCACAATAAAGTTTTTCCTGGTGACATCTTACGGTAGACATTATTCTCATAAATTTTTAACATTGTGTTACTTTGAATGAAAAGAATATCTTGTATTTTGTTATTACTTAAAGTAGATGTCACCACTCGTCACCACTCTTTAAATGTGGTGTAGATGTCATTGAATCCTTCAATGGTTTGTTCTTCAATTATTTTGTTCTCTTTTCTTTTTATTCCTGAACACTTATTATTTTCTTAAAGACATAAAGTGGATTAAAGGCTTAAGCATTAAATTGGATTTGGTTTTTTCTTTTTTTTTTTATTTTCGATTAAGTTTTGTAACAAATAAATGTTAGAATGTTTGAATAACAGAATAACAGAATGTTTGTTATGTACCAGAACGTCTTACTTATTTACTTTTATTTATTTATGTAAGTATGAAAAGAAAATTTGCTCATATCATGTTGGCTAAAATTTATGTACATATTTTTATTTATCCTAATACACACATTGCTTGTACATACACATTACTTATTTACAGTATTAATGTACATAATTTGTTTTTGTTTTTCATATTTATTTTCTTGGGATCTTGTTAAGATGAAGTTTTGTTTTTCTTTTCACTTTCAGGTGGATTTAAGGCATATCGATGAAGTAAATGGTACAAATGTAGTTGATATTGGTGTTGATCTTTCTGAATTTTATAAATCAGTTGAATGGGATATATTAGAAGTTCCTGCTGTACGGTAAGTTAAAAAGAATAAAAATTATATATTTTCTTGCAATATTTAATCGTAAATAAAATTAATTTTATTATTTTTATTGAAATTAATTTTAAAAATATCAAAGTATATATATTTTGAAATTTAATATTAAACAAATTAAGTCGAAAATAATAGTTAGTAGCTTCTCACGGTTAAAGATGTTAGAAGTAAGAGACTTCAAAATTTCATAAGCAAATTTTACGTAATGGTAAAATACTGATACAAAATTGAAGTTTGGATGTAAATTCAATTAATTGTTACTTCGAACTTGTTTCGATAATTGGGTTTATGAAGGAAAGCCATATTCCCACCCTGAACCAAGACCATTTTTTAAATCACGTATTACTGCTACTATTTTTTTTTTACAATTATAAGAGAAATAAAAACATGCTTAAAATCTTAGACTTGGCACAATTTACTAAGGCAAAAGAACCTTTTTAAAAAATTAAAAAAATCCATTGAATTCTTAAATTGACTTGATTACTTAATCAACTTTTCTAACTTAGCAATAGTAAACAAATTTAATGTCCATAAAAATTTTATCATTTATCATATACAAACAAATATCTAATAATTACATTATATTTATGGTAGGGACTTAATCCTTGAATGAATATATTTTACAACGTCTACGTACATTTTAAAAATATTAAAAAAATTCTATAAAATGGGGGTACCCTCATTGATTGTAATTTGAATTTTAATAGTTCATATTAATATTTTATATTCAAATTTTAGAATTTGCTTCCCAAAAATTTGCATAGTAATATAAATATGGTCCAAATATTAAACTCAATTCATTTGGAATTTAATAATTCAAGAAATTATGATTTAATTAAAATAAAATAATTTTAAATTGTTAATATTGGTATTAAGTTATAAATAAAGTTATTGTCGGTTTATAAGAGGAAAATTAAATTTTAAACTTTATGAGTAAATAAATCTTAAAATGTTTTATAAATAGTTTCAATTTTTAATACCCTTAAAACACTTAGTGGCCAAACAGACATGCAATTTTTAGTTTTGCAATTACAATTACTCCTTGATTGTAAAATGGTAGTGCGTACATCTTAGCAACTGAACTATTGCACCAATGCAAGTCAATCAAGTTAAATAAAAACTGCAAACCGTTTGTGAAAAATTATAAACTTCTTTATTGCTTAGTTACATGCAATAATACTTAAACACAAATCTATGGAATACAAATAAGCAATCAAACAGTCGAAAAACTAAAAATTGCATGTCTGTCTAAGACCTTAACATTTTGTGCTGAAATATAATAATAATATGCACAATTTCACATTACTGATTGGAAAAGTAATTTTTCAGTAAAAACTACATTACGCTTAGACGAAAACTCAAACATGTTTCATGGTACACTGCAATTTTTTACGCAATCAGTTTGAAAATACTATTAATAAGATATCAGTATCAGGAAGGACAAAATTTTAGCAATTTGAAACAATATTAATAATGAAAATTGTTTTTGAAAAAATATCAAAAATTTATAATGAAAAGTTTGTTAGTCATATTTTGATTTCAGCACCTTCAAGTGTAAAATCAAAAACCAAAATTGTAAATCGAAAATTATATTTTGTTTAAAATTTCGAAAAATCCGATTTAATTGATTGGAAAAATCCGTAAGAACATTTATTAATTTTCTCATTGAAAGAAAAAGCATAAGAAAATCAACTCATAAAGGTAATTTATAAAAACAACTGTCTAGAACTTTGAGAATGTAAAACTTTTTTTATTAAAAAAGTAGCCGTTTATTAAAGTTATGATTTTTGTAAGGGTAATTTGTAAAATTTTAAATGTCACTGCAAGAAAACTTAACAAGATTTTGAAAAAATTTTTCAATTTTTCATTATATTTATTTTTTGCCTAAAAAGAGCAATTCAAATATCAGAAATCTGATATTGTATTCCCCCTATATCGCGAGCATATTGTTTTTGTTCAACAGTCATCTTAATTTCCTCATACTCAAATATCAAAAAACTAACATTTACATAATATGTCGCATATCATTCACAAAGAAAGTATTTTACGAAGAAAAATTTTTCTTTATCAGATTACGTTCCTTATACACACATTTCTAAATAAAAATAATTACCATTCTTCTCCAAAAATTTCTTATTTTTAAATGCCTATTGGAAACTCTATAAAAAACAAAAAAAAATAATAAAAAATATCGTGTTAACAGTATTATTCCAAATTTACACTTTCTGACTTTCCTTCAAAAACATTTATTTTAATATTTATGTTCCCAAAAAACAAAAAAACTTAAACTAACAAATTATATTTCAAAATAAAACACCCCATAGTTTTTGCTCAGAAGCCAACAACATTTTCTCTAACTTATTTTATCTAGTTGATTTAATAATTTAACTAAAACGATACTCTTCTTATTTTTGTATATAAATGTATAAAAACACCTTATCCTTTAAGGATAAATTTTCAAAACTTATTATAACCTTTTTTTTACGACTCCATATACACGCACACAACACTATTAAACAGAAAAAGAGAAGAAACAACAACATACTTAATTTCAAAAGAAGAAAATAAAGAAAAATCAACAAGATTACTTTTCTTAAGTTTCCATTTTATATAATATAAATATATATATGTATATACACGTGTGTATACAAATTAATATATCCTTTTTAACAACTTTCATTTTAACATAAAATAAAATTTATTCTTACACCTCAACAGTCAGTAGGTCACGTTGCTTTTACTGGATCTCGAGTATACTTAAAATTTTAGTTTTTTCCTTGTTTTTTTTTTTTTTGTTTTTTACCCACATTACACTTTATTTTCTTAAACAACCTAACAAAAACATCATTATAAACTTAGAAATATCTCAATATACACACAGAAGAGACTTACATAATATTCATGTGTGTGTGTACATATATATACAAAAACTATACCTACATACCATAAATATACCAGCATGCACATAAAAAAAAATATAAATGTCTAAATGAAATAGATGGATCCTTTTTTGGTTATTTTTAATTTTTTTTTATTTTTGGCGAATCCCTGAACACTAATTCGTTATAACTTTGAAAGTGTTGAAAACCCTAACTATTGTGATGAAAAAAAATAACAATAATGCAAAAACGAAAAGCAAAAACTAAAAGAAGAAAATCAATGAATCCGGTTAGTTTTCCTCTGATGCCTTTAATGACTTGACTGGTATTTTAGAAACAATTATTCTCAGTTGATTTGGGGTTTTGTTTTTGTTCCGTTTTTTTCTTTCTGAACGTAGAAAAGAACGTGAAACTGCTAATATAGATGCCGATTGATGTCATGAAATTTATCCGAAATTAATTAATAAAAATTAAATTGAAATTTTTAGTTCAAAAAAAAATTAAATTATTTTTTTCTGAAATTAAAAGAAAAGTAAACGCAAATCAGGAACAGTTTACATAATTAACGTACTTTTAGTTATTAAGTGAATCAAATGAAAATGACAAATTGATAGAATAATGAATTGAAATAGAAAAAAAATCAAGTATTACCAATGAAATAGTGGAAAAAACAATTTATCCGAAAAATTCATGATATTTCTAGTTGCAAAAACTTACCTTTAAACAAATATATGCAGGAAAATTTTCTTGCAATAGAAAAGTTTTTGGTGTGACTAATTAATTTCAATCAAACTTACATATATTTGATTAATTAACCTCTCCGTACTTGAATTATTCGAAGGTACAAAATATTTTTGTGAGCTACGATAAAGCAAGAATGATGTTCCAATTTATAAAAAATAATTTTTCATAATATTTCTCTGATTTTCTGATTCATGATTAAGTAATCATGTAAAATAACCTACCGTGGCCAGGAGATATCTGCATTGTTAAAGTGTTGTCTATGATTATTAATGCATTTTTTCAAGTAAGTTGGTTGATTATTTCTCTCAATATAGGCAAAAATGTAAAGTCGTTAACAAACCCTCTCGTCCTCAAAGTAATTCCAGATGTCCGCGCAAACCGACATCTCTCTAAAATTACTTTATTTAAGATTTCGCAGCACGGCCTAACACATTTCCGCCGAAAATTCGACATTGAAAATTTGGTGCAATTCAATGATCATAATTAAAGAAGATAATTCATTTGGGCTTAAACACTTAAATCAGAAATATTACAAGACATTTATAATTTATGAATTTTAAAGAATTTATACAACATATTTCCTTTACTTTGAACATAACTATTTTATAGGTATTGAATAATTTTACTTGTAATATACAAAAATATAGGCTAATGTCTATAGAATTTTATAATACAAATTTAAAAAGAATAACGAAAAAATATCAAAAGAATTTTTATGGAAAATACTATTATTTTCCAATACAAACCAACTGAATTGCAAATATGGTAGTTATTTTTCATTAACAATGATAATTAATTTTTTAGAAATTTTAAAATGGAACCCATGTGGAAATTGAATTTATGTTTATGAAATTAAATCAATTCCAGAAATTTTAATATTTTATTTTTATTCTTTCAAATACATTAATTTGCAAATTATGTTAAAATCTTATTGGGCTTTCTGATATTTTAAAATTTTTTAGAGCAAAGCAACAACTATAATTATGTTTTGATTTGTTTAAAGAGAAATGTAGTTAAAATGTAAGACTATTGTTCATTTAGTCATTTTTTCTGAGATTCTTCTTAATCGTCACATATTTGACGTTATTAAAACGATATTAAGCCGAATATTGAGCTTGATCGAAAGAAGTTTATTTAAAACCCTAAACTAGTTTGAGAAGGAGTTTTTTTCTTTAGTTTCCAATTATACGAACTATATAACAACTTTCTCTGACTTTATTAGTCTAATTTAACTCTTTCAGAAATTTATAATAAAAACTCACAACATTTAAGACATAAATTTAAAATTTCGTTACACTTTAATATAAGTGCTCAGTATGAAATATATCTGAAAATCTTATAACACGTACCATTTAAATT